TATTCTTTTATAAATAGTTTAAAGAAATTCCGTAAAACTATTCACCAATATCAATTTTCCACCAAATATCAAAAAAATCCATCCACTAATATTCAAGACATGTTCCGGACGGAGGTCCTTGCTTTATCCCTATCAAACTTAGTTTGAGGAGGACTGTTACATAGTCCGTGATCTGCTCCAAAAATGAAGTTCCCACAAACAATACTGCAATTCAAGTATGCCTATATCAATCAATTTTGATAAAAAATAGGTAATTTTGATTAACAAAAGAGTATATAATTTTGAAAAATATAAAAAAGATGAAGGATGCAAATGTATAGATCTGCAATAGTACAAATTCTACATTGTGAAATGTTTTGGTGTCCATACATTCCAAGTGATAATAAAAACGTCTGAAGCTTGAAAAGGTGACATATATAATACATGTATTATAAAGATACATGTATGTTAACAAGGTCACAAAAATGACAGCCAAATAAATATCAATGCTGGCTTTGAATATTATGATATCCCCATATAAAGTCAATAATGGCAATAATGCATACCTGTAGCCCCGTCTGAAGTCAATACATCTTTGTTCAAATCATCATTAATTTTACTAGGAACACTATCTTACTATGGAGTAGCTGTTTTTTATAGCGGGCACCCGGACAACAAACTCCTTATCTACAGGTCTTAGGAAAATCAGATCTATTATGAATGGATAGGGTTGCTTATGCCTTGGTCACATTTGCTTCGATTTTCACTACGGCGCCCGGCCGATTGAGTATTTCGTTCAGAATTGAATTCACTTTTGAACAAAATACTCATTGGCCGGGCGCCGGTGCTGAAAATCGGGGCAAATGTGACCATGGCATCAACTAATGATGCTGGCGTAGTAAACAAGGTAACACATTATAAAACACTGTCCTCCGCCATACTGTAGCATGTATTTCTTAAAATTAATTACAGACTGAAGTGAATTTGCAAATGTTATCCATGGGGCTTTTCTGCCACCTTGCAAACTGCTCGATGAATCTATGTAATGCAAGGGAAGAACACTTGGAATATATGTAGCTAAAATCTAGTATACTGTACCTTCAGAACTATGGAAATAAACAAACGTTCTCCACAGTTTGTAACCTCTTTGCAGCACCCTTTGAAGAAATAAAGGCTAGCCTACAGTTTGGGGGCAGGGGCAGGGTAGTGTGATACGTACCTTTAAGTTCTACATAACTTACCTAAACAGTAAAAGCTCATGCAGATCTGCCGTTCAAGTAGCACTGTCCGTCGTGTCCGACTGTTGCCTTCTTGTGTTCACACTTGAAAAGTTGCAAAGTTGCAAGAAAAGGGTTTGGAAACATTTACTTCCTCTCATTTCTTACATTTGTACTCCAGTCAGGAGAATGCAAATCGAAATTACTTGCACCGCAATGGAAGCCTAATAGACGAATGCAACAAAATTAGGTAAATAACATGAATAATCTAATAACGAAATATTTGAAAAGTAGAAGGATTCGCTATATTCGTTTTTAATCGCTTTTTGGCACAATTTAAGGATAATTGTGCGCACTAGTTCAGTGAATCATTTAGATGGAATTAAAAGTTAGAGTTGCCAAACTTATGCAGGGGAGTGTAAGTTTGGTTTTGTAAACTTCGACATTATTCATGGCCGTTTGATCCATAATTAGGTATAATGAAGAGTAGAGTTTTATTTTGACAATGATTTGATGTAAAACTGGTTTGAATGATAAAAGTTCAGCTTTGTAGTTTCTAGCTTTTTGCGCGTAAAACGTGAATACAATGGACAACAACGACACCAAATCTTTGACTAACATACGTTAATAACGTATAATATTCATAAGAATGAATTCTAATAACATTTGAAATAAACATCTAATAAAATGTGGTGAATTTAATTGGTTGGAAACTCCAAGAAATATATTTTTAAAAAGATGTCAACTTTTGGACAAGGGTAAACTTCCCGGGACATTTACAATCTGCATGAGGTAACAGGAGGCACGGATTGCACTGAACGAAGGCTAGGAGATTGCTAATCAGCACTGATGTGTTAAACAGGTAAGACTGCCTGATCAACAAAAAACATTTCGACATATCAAAAACATAAATCAAATAGCTCAAAAATAATGAACATTTATGCAATTCCGGCTTTATTTTATTTTACTAGAGAGATGTCAGACCTATAAATAAAGGCATATGGATGCATAAATTCATCTATAATTCAGGATAAACTGAGATTGAATAATGTTTTAAACATTTAAAAATTTAACTCTTTAAAGACTGGGTCAGGACCCACGAGGGTACGTGGGTAGGAGGTTTTTTATACAAAGCCTGAGAAAATGGTAGAAGTGCTACTTCCACATGGGTAATACATATCATAAACAGATAAACTGGTTGTCTGCACCAACGTGGGGCTTAGTGGAAGCGAAGTTGAAGTCTTCCAATCAAACAAGCGACGATCCAAAATTGGATTCGCAATTTCAGAACTTATAACAGGCGAGTCTTCTTTGACAGCCACTAAATTTCTAAAGTCTCATAAATACATATCATTGAAAACCTGTATTCCTCAAGAAAATCGGGTTGATAAAAAATCCTCAAAAAATATCATCGAAATGATTACTTTGAATTGGCGCACCTTTAGCAAGTGACAGAACTGAAATGTATGGATGATGTAAGAGTTACTGTACACAGGTTTTGGGTAGTTAAGTCATACAAAGACAATTTCCGACTTCATAAAGTCAGCCGATTTACATTGGGGTATCCAAAACAGTGACCTCACTGACAGCGCAAAATCTGGGATTCGCATGAAACATTCATTTGATTCAAAAGACAAAAATAATTTTTGTGGACGAGGAAATTCAATATGCTGGCACTAGTGCTTAAACAACTAGTCAAGAAGTCAATATCAACTCGTACTTCAATATGACGACACTATAGTTAAGAAGTCAATATCAACTTGTATTTCACTGAAGTCGACTTCAAAATTGAAAGTTGAGTCCCCGGGAAAAATTAATAATGGAAAAAATAGAAACAATTCAAACTTACACTTTCATTCATTCTTACATTTTGAAACAGAGTAATAAATATCACTTACTGTGGTGTATTTTCTCCCTGTCTACCTTAACCTGTCATTCACCTTGAGGAAAGACATCATAAGTACCTGGATACTGTTGCAAAGTAGCTATATTGGATGAAAATTATGTTTAGCCTTCAGTCTGAATAAACTTGATAATATTACACATACGTTAATTTGTTATATATATATAAATACACTACATTGTGTCAGATGTGAGAATTCTTAAAAACTGGATTTATATCTGCAAATTGAGTAAATTATATGTATTTTAAGGAAAACCATATGACAATTTTTCTCGGAAAATTCAATTTTTCTGAACATTCATTGACTATTGGATTATTCTACAAACTATATATTATCGGGATACATTGTCTCATCATACTATGGCTGATGAAAATGATCATGCGAGGAGGATGAAATGCAAGTTCCACAGCAACCACCAGATGGAGTCAAGGAGTGGCAGAAATGGATTAGGTGCTTCAAGAGGTTTGGTATGGCCTCAGGACTTGATCGTTACCCTCAGGAAAGGCATGAGAATATGCTCATCTTTACTATGGGTGAGACAGTCGAATCATATATTTGTGAGTAATATAACATTGGTTCAAATACATAGATGAAATATTAAGGGCAGGTTTAGTAATGAACAAGGTGATGTTGTTCAAATTGGCTCAGTATAGTGAATACGGTATGTTAGTATACTTTAAGGAAAAGAAAGCTTGAGCGACTTTCAATTATCATTTGGCATCAGCGTGTCTGATTTTGGCATACACATGTCACATTCTGGCATGATTGTTCATATCATAAGGAAAAGTAAGTTTGCTTCCACACGAGGTACTTGTTCCTTGTCTTGTCTCACATTTGTACACATTTTATACCCAGACATTCAGTCTACTACATTGGTAACCTATTAACCAACTAATTCTTCAAATGTTTAATTAAGTCCCTGGCAAGGTATTATTAGTAAAGTATTTGAAATAAAAACATTTATAATGATCCCCTACTTAACACCCTTGACTCATTTCTTGGATGGGAATAAGATTAACCCTCATTAGAACCATCTGATCCTTACCAACTTGTTTCTGAAAATTCTTGTGATTATCTTAATGTACATTTACTTTAAACCTGAATAATGCATTGAGTGTGCGTTTCAAATGAGCTAAAATTCAAACCTTCTTTTAGTATGTTATATCTCCTATGAGATGAAAAAGGTTTGAAAGCATTTGAAGCGCAAGGTTTTGAGAAATGTTTATCTAAACATCCCCTCCCCCAAAAGTCTATATACTATTCCAATACATGAGAATTCACTTTACACATGTTCAACACTACTGTGGAGCACGTGGCCCAGTTATTGTTCACTGTAGATATATATATGTATGTCAATCATAAGTCGGTGTGTGCCTCAGATCGTGTCATTGGCTAGATAACTATCCAATCATCATCTTTGTACATCATTATTACACCCCAGTATAAGATACCCTGTTGATCCCCTTTTCATTAGAGTTACTCAGAACTAGAGGCACACACACACACCTTGAAGATCCTGATGTTACAATAAAGTTGTTGTATATTGTACGTATTTGTTACTAGTTCTGTGTTTCCCGTCCTCCCCCTCCCAGGGAGGTTGGGGCTTTCATACCCACATCCCTTGACTGTTAGCAGCTGACCTAATTTCCCCCTCCCCACATCAAGTCTACCTTATGACGGAGTGGCGCGGTGATGCAGAGACCAACAGACCCCCCCCTCAGGTTAAGGTGACCGGACTAGGAGCAAGGACCGGCCCCGGTATAAAGTACAGCACCCCCTCACTCGGTTCTACATTGGTGGCAGCGGTGGGATCCGAACCCACGCCTCAATGAGACTGGTGCCTAAAACCAGATGAAATTCAGTCATTCTACAGACGAAGTTTCCAGGCGACACACGCAAAATGTCAGAATTCAAAATCCCTAGAAAATGTGCGATATGCGAGAGAAGATGTAACACGTTTGGCGAATTACGCCAACACCTAGATGAGAGCCATCCCGATGTGTGGCGGGGAGTGCGCGTACCAGCCCAAGAAAGTGCCAGGAACCCTGAAGACAGATCCTGGTCACGTTCCCATTCGCGTTCCAGAAAGACGGCAAACGCCCAACGTACCCCTAAGTCATCCACAGCCGTGAGAGAAGGTGCATCACCCACGTGCACCGTGCAGGTCAACGCGCGGGATCCGCTGAACCTCATGTCGGACGCAGCGGCCCAACTAGCATCAACGGGAGACAGAGCCACGAAAAGAGGACGTACTGAGGACTCGCCATCCAAAGGATCGTCGGCCGCGAAGAGAAGGTCCGCCAGCCCATCTAGCGGAGAAACGTCAACCTCACGGTCGGCAGAAGGAGCAATCCTGGCGAACAAGGATACTGAGAGGATTTTCCCCATTACTGGGCCGGCGGCAGGTCTCGCAGCCAACGTAAGGGCCCTGCTGGAACAAGGGTACACCGTTCGTCGTTGGGAGCGTTCCACTGAAACCTTTGGACAAGATGGGGCCGTCCAGCAGAAGGTGGTGGAGTCCGTCACGCTGGACAGACCTCATAAGAAATAAACATTTGATCATGAAGTGATACAACGTTTGAAACATTGCATTATATTTTGAGCTGCTTAATGGATTCGCCGTGCTGATTGTTAATTTGAAGGGCGACAATATTTGGAACATTATATCTATTTTGTGCAACTAACGAATTCGCCATGCTGATAATTCATTCTATTTTGTGCAACTAACGAATTCGCCATGCTGATAATTCATTCGAAGCGCGACAATATTTGGAGCATTGTATTTTATATTTATCAAATTCGCCACTACACGCTGAAATACAAACAATAGTGACAATATTGGGAACATTGCATTTGTGCACGCAGGACGCCAATTATTCAAAATTCGCTGTGCGGTGTATGCCGTTTACGTAGAACTATTTTCATTTAATTACCTTATGATTTCTGCAACCATATTGGCAGAAATGGACTCTTGTATAATTTAATAATTTAATACAAGTAGACTCTAATTTGAACCTCAAAGTAAAGAGAATCGTCGATGACACAGGTATGTTTTCATGTCTCAACCATCAGTGAAATGGGTTCCTATTTTTGTGGACGATGTTTGAAGTATTTTGCCTAACGCCCATTGTATTGTATTTTATTTCATTTGTATTGTATTGAATTGTATTGTATTATATTGCATTGAATTTCATTAAATTGTATTGTATTGTTTTGCATTGCCTTGCATTGTATTGTATGTACCATTTGAATTACAATTTCATAACGCAAATGCTATTAATAAATTACTTGAAATCATTGACATTGAATAATGTTATATGCAATTTTGTTCGTTTTAAGGCCAGGCGTACCAGCAACCCTAAACGTAGTTCAGGTCTACTAAACCGAGCTACGGCAAGCGGGGCTCAAAGCGTCAGGGTGCATCATAAATTCAACTAAGAGATGGTTTATGCCCACAGACGGTCATTAATTAAAGATTCTCAAATAGATAACGATTTGGACTGTATAAGAAACAGTTTACATTGAAATAATATGTAACTTTATTACAAAGCAAAAAACTCATTACTGTACTTAATATGTATGTCCCCCTTACTTGCATATATTATTGGGACTTGTGATAAAACACCATGATCTCTTACTGTCACTTTGCAACAAAATTGATCTGAGAATTGCACACCAAATAGCCAGCAATGAATCATTGAGTGAAAGCAAGCGAGATACGCCGTATGGGAAATATATTACTCAACTTGAGAAAATTTCCAAACTAAAAAAAACTTGAAAGTATTCCAAATGAACAAAAACGGGAAAAGATTAAAAAAGAAATCGAAGACAGGGAAACAAAAAACCAACTTCACTTAGAATCTTGAACTGTAGCTGCCACACTTGACCAGGTTCTAAAAAAGCATTACATACAAAGGGCACCATACCATGGAAAATCTTTTGTTGGCAACCACTGCCACAAGTTTTTAAAGCCAGAGGTGTACACTGATCTTTGCGATGCAGTTGTTCAGGCTACAACGTCAATTTCAAAAGGACTAAAAACTGAAAATAAATTAGTGAAAGCAGCACATCGCATTAGTAATATTTTTAAGGATGTAAATAAAGAACTTTCAATTGTTCACAACGCAGTTTCTCACGACAAAAAAATCAAGGCTGGGCAAGTATCAATGATTCAAGCAAAGATTGACAGCTACATGGAAGCATATAGACACTACTTTAAAATGCAGTTTACACATTGTAAAACTTTAATTACTGAGGCACTTTAGCTTTTCATTCAGCTACTTTGAATCGCTCTCATGGAAAAAAGGCCCTATTTTATTTATCCAGTTCCGACCAATCGGAACTTTAATATCTTTAATATCAACCAATCAGATTCATTACAATCATAATTCTACTTTTATACTTTCCCTTCCAAAACCCTTCACTTTCACGTCATTCCTCATACTGTGTATATTTGCTTTCAGGTAATAGTTTTGCAAATTTTATTTTATCAAAAAACCTCGCTCAAGCTTAAAGCATTAATGTTATTTCACTTGTTTAGTATTTTCATCAAATAGTCTACAGTTTTGGTGTTCTATATTTTTACCATGTTCACCTTTAACATTAAATTGAACTATCAATATATTCACATATTCATTTCTACTTTCACGTCTTTTCTCATTTCTCATTTCATCTCCTTTCAGGTTCGAATCAGAAGTTCATACAGCCAAATCCTAGTTGCCTTTTTGCAGTATTTTAGCATGAAATATTTTATTTGTGCATATTTTTTTGTAGTGCAGTTATTTAATAGACTAGATGCGGGTAGATATAATCTTGATTTACGTCATTAAATATTCAGAATATAGTCAAATTGATTTCATATTTGAAATCTACAATTTAAATACATCTAGAAATATGGTTAAGGAAATTGTTTATCAACTTTGAAAATTTAATTTTTTTCAAAATGTAATTTCTAGTTCGGGGAGATTCTCCATAGAGCCCATGTTTTAAAAATCACAAAAAGTTAAATATATTTTCTTTTATTGGACATATAACATTTTCTTTAACCGGACATATTTTAATTTGCATAACTATTAGATACATAATGGTGATATGAAAATTGAACCGCTAAAACAGATGAATATTAAGTTAAAGCAAACTTTCTCCTATACCCGCCATGCTATCTGACCCGAACGAGCCACCTGGTGGTTAAACTGGTAACTACCTACTCGCATCTGAGTCATTATTCTTGTATTTTCCTTGTTCTGTTATGTTGTATCTTATTATATTTATTAATAATGTGTACGAGCTTCTGCCTTAATAATAATTTTATACATTTTTAAGTTATCTTCTGTTTATGCTTTAAGTGTGAGGAGGTAATTGGACAAATATCACCTGAAACAACATCTCCTTGAAGATCACATATCGGAATGGATAGAAAGATACAATTGTGGGATGGGTCTTCAAGGTGAACAGGGAATTTGAAAATGTTCATAAGATATTCAATGACTTGGACCGTAAAATGAATGGAATACGTCACCACCTAAATAAATTTACATCTATTGTGACAAAGCACCTGGTAACTTTCCAACCCGAATTAATAACTTCAAATCCAATAATAAAAAAGCGCAACCCTTCTAAGATTAAAGTATGACACCACTACTCTGCTTCTGATGTGAGTATATTTTAATTGAAGCTGTAGAGCATGAGTAGTTTAGCACATACATCCCCATCTTAATCAGTCATACACTTATTATTCAAAGACTGCATCGATTCACTTTCAAGCAAAACAACACATATCTTAACATATTTCATACATCTCTTCCACTAACATTTTAATCTGATAGGGTAATTGGTAGGGGTGGGTCGGGCGGCCCGTTGCCCGAGTGCCCGCGGGTATTAGCTCCACGGGTGGGGCCACGGGCATCAGAACCTCGGGCATCAGAACCTCGGGCATCGGGCTAAACGGGCCACTTAAATCCCGGGGGATTATGCTCGTTTCGTTCAGTGTACAATTAAAATTTGTTTCCTCCACATTGAAGAGCTAATAATGGCTGAAAGTAAACGTGAAAACGCTGAGCTAGAAATCAAAGATGTGCCATCAGGGCTTAGGAGCCCTGTTTGGAAAGTGTTTGGGTTTCAGAGAAACGATCCTAAAAAAACTATTTGCCGGATCTGCAAGGTGTCATTTACATATTCTACCGGTACGTAAGCATTTTGAGAAAATATCAGCGATTTTTTTAAAAGTTTTTTTCAATTCAATAAATAATTTTATAAAATTAAGTTTAGTAGCCTCTTGTTTTATACTTGTAATTTAACTTAATAATGACTCCATAGTAATTGATAATCCATAGTAATTGATAATCATTACAGTACTTATTTTCGCGGATTTGCTTTATGAACATTTGCTAAATTGATAAAGAACAGTAAATACTTGGAGTGTCCCCATTTTCTAGTTATAATTGTTTGTTGACCCCCAAGGGAGTCACATGTTACATACTACTTGAACTTAACTACTGTACTTATATTCACAGATTTGCGTTTTGAACATTTGCTAAATTGAGAAGTACTGTTCTAAAATACTTGGACTTTGTTCATGTTTGTTGACCCCCAAGGGAGTCTCATATGTTACATACATAAAAGCAATAAAATTGCATTTGGATTTTGGAACATTACATTTGTGTTTATCATTATATTTGAGTAATGTTTGCTAGCTTTCCCCTGGTGTTGATAGATTGATGAGCTAATGGCTAATTTCTAATCATTAGTCATTGAAGTAAAATCATCAGAACATGGTTAAACAATATTAACAAAAAACTTAAGACACTTGATTCAGTATTATATGTTTATTTATTCATTTGTACTTATGGTGTCATTCAAACTAGAGAACTGACTATACAGCCCGGCCCGGCCCGGCCCGTAGCCCGAAGCAGTTGAGCCCGGCCCCAAGGTGCCCGAACTGAGGGCCGCCCAACCCACCCCTAGTAATTGGGCACTTTAAGGTTAATTGACTTGTGTGTAGGTATTAATTACAGCGAATGCCTACTTAGAGTTAAATGTACATGCTGAGCTATGCTAGCGCTAATGGTGGTTATTTGATAAACAACAACTAAGTCTACCACTACAGGCTTGCTGCCATGCTGCGGTTTAGTAACTTTAGATCCGTTTACCAAATAAGGGACACCAATAACATTGATCATAAAAGACTTTAAGTAATAATGGACATTGGTCAAGAAGAACATTCTTGTCATTTAAATTTGAAACTGAGGCCTCAAAGGATGTATATAAAACTATAAAAACTAAGTTTGAAAAACATTTTGATGTTAGAAAGAACGTCATTTATGAGCAAGCGCAATTGAACAGATATTCAGAAACTAAATCTGAATCTGTGAACACATTCATCACCAATTTATACAAACTATTGAAACATTGATCCTACAGAACTTAAAGGAGGAACTTATCAGGGACAGAACTGTTGTTGGTATTCATGATACCAGACTAAGTGAGAAAATGCAGTTATATGCACATCTGACTCTGCAAACGTGCATCACAAAAGTTCGTCAGAATGAGGCTGTAAAACATGAACAGACTCTGCTGCATGATATGCCAGCCGCTACTCCACAAAACTTGAATGAGGTACAAAAAAGTTTAATAAATCTCATCGTGAATCATCTGGATCTAAATCAGAATCACATGGATTAAAATCTTGCTATTGCTGCGGGAAGGTGCCACA